TCAGGGGGCATCAGAAGCCATGGATCTAGCTTGGAGTAACAAATAGATAGACTCGGGATTTAGGGGGGAATTGATCAGGTACAATAAATTAAGATATATGGGCGGGGGGAAGAGGGAGCGAGTGGAGGAAATGAACCAACACGCAGGTGACTCTTATTTGGAGAGTGACCATAATAATAATAATTATTTATTTATTTATTTATTTATTTATTTATACCCCGCCACCATCTCCCCAAGGGGACTCGGGGCGGCTTACATGAGGCTAAGCCCAACAACACATCAGTAAAAACAACAAAGCAATAAGATGATGTCCAACTCTGTCACTCCTTCTCACCTGTCACCAAGGAGGCTGTCCAAACCTTGGCCACTGTGTTGGACTGGATGAGAGCTAACAAATGGAAATTGAATCCAGACAAGACAGAGATCCTACTGGTCAGTTGAAAGGCCGAACAGGGCATAGGGTTACAGCCTGTGTTAGACAGGGTTACACTCTCCCTGAAGGCACAGGTTCGCAGTCTGGGAGTGATCCTGGACTCATCGCTGAGCCTGGAACCCAAGGTCTCGGCAGTGGTCAGGGGAGCTTTTGCACAATTAAAACTTGTGCGCCAGCTGCACCCATACCTTGGGAAGTCTGACTTGGCCACGGTGGTCCACGCTCTGGTTACATCCCGTATAGACTACTGCAACGCTCTCTACGTGGGGTTGCCTCTGAAGACTGCCCGGAAGCTGCAATTAGTCCAACGAGCGACAGCCAGATTACTAACAGGAGCGGGGTACAGGGAGCATACTACTCCTCTGTTGCGCCAGCTCCACTGGCTGCCAATTAGCTTCTGAGCACAATTCAAAGTGCTGATGTTGACCTATAAATCCCTAAACGACTCCGGCCCAGTTTACCTGTCCGAATGGATTCTCCAAACAATACAATCAATGTAACTCACATATAAACAATAACATACAAAGATTTAAAAATCTATGGCCAGGCCAAATGTAATCGTTTAAAATTTTCAAAATAAACGCTGGGCATGAACAGAGGTAGGATGTATCTAGTAGGAGGGTTTTAAAGAAATGTAGGGAGAGTAACCCAACGGGTAATTAAAGTGCTTCTGAGGACATTTTGCAGGGAATTGTTTCCTTTATTCAGGGAAGGAACACTGGAACAGCCACGTTTTCAGGCTCCTCCTAAAGACTGCCAATGTGGAGGCTTGCCTGATATCCTTGGGAAGCGAGTTCCAGAGTCGAGGGGCCACCATAGAAAAGGCCCTCTCCCTCATCCCCACCAATCGCGTCTGCAAAGGGGGCGGGAGCGAGAGCAGGGCCTCTCCAGATGATCAAAGAGATTAGTGGGCTCGTACACAGAAATTTATCCCATTTCTGTTTGCTCCATCTATAGCAGGGGTCCTCAAACTAAGGCCCGAGGGCCAAATACAGCCCTCCAAAGTCATTTATCTAGCCCTCGTTCAGGGTCAACCTAAGTCTGAAATGACTTGAAAGCATGGAACAACGACAACAACAGTCCTATCTCATCAGGCAAAAGCAGACCCACACTTCCCACTGAAATACTAATAAGATTATATGTGTTTAAATTGTTCTTCATTTTAATTGCTGTTTTAAGTGGTTTTTTGCACTGCACATAAGATATGTGCAGTGTGCATAGGAATTCGTTTATGTTTTTTTTTTCAAATTATAATCTGGCCCTCCAACAGTTTGAGGGACTGTGACCTGGCCCTCGGTTTAAAAAGTTTGAGGACACCTGATCTATAGTGTTGCCCCTATGATGCACTTTTCCCCCGTTCTAAACTGAAAGCCTTGCCCCACTGTTTTATCCTTTTTGGGTTCCCCTCACTTACATATTTTCTATTCCAACTTCATCCAGGGTTTTATCATTTTATCTCATCCATTTGGCCTGCCCATTCTGTTCGATTTTATATTGTGTTCATTTGCTTTATTTATTTGATTTTGCTACTGTAAGTGTTTTCTTTTTATATATATTGTGCCGTCACACCCGGACACTATAAAGTTAAAACTAAGATGTGCTTCTCTCTTTATCTGGGTGCCTTACTTAGAAGCCTACGATTCCCAGCAACTGAGGCCAGTCCAGGTTTGAACATCAAACAGAACATTTATTTCTCAAAATCCTTGACAGACTTGGCACAGCTTGATGAAGTTACAAACAAAACAGTCAATTTATGAAACCATGTAGATGTTCTTTCCTTTCCTTTTCCTTCAGTTACTGAGTTAACTTCCCCCAAATGGTAGAAAAATCCTGGGATCCTTTACCCTAACCCTGAGCTGCTATCTTTTAGAAAGAACAAGTCTTCCCCTATCCAAGCTCAAGGTTAGTTTGGGGATGAAGTAATGGAACCTCTCCCAATGGCAGAGGAATCCTGAGATATTCTCTCCCCCAGTGCTGAGCTGCTACCTTTTAGAAAAAACAGGTCTTCCCCTATCTGAGCTCAGCACCAATTTCAAAGGCAAGAGGGTAACCGTATTCATGATGGCCTGTCCGAGCTGCCTAGCTTGTCCATCAGCATGTCTGAGGCTTTTTCTAAACTGAAGAAGGCAGGAGAGCTTCTCCAAAATGGAGATCTCATCCCCAGGAAAAGGGGCGGTCTCTGGACCAAAAGATACTTTTTTAAACCAATAACAGCAAAAGGCTTGCAGGCTGGCTTCCAGCCTCTGTTAATAATTAACCTTTAGGGTGCTGCTAAGACTGTAGCAACCCTGGGGGAAATGCAAAGGAAGGCTACTTTATGCAACTAAGGGGCAATGCAAACCAAGCTCCTGGAAGACGGAACATATATAATCAGAAAATATATATTCAAAAATAGTGAAATGTGTCTAGATCTGTATGCTGATGGCAACTTGTACAAAATAAGTATAACACACTTTACCATTCACTCGAGTTTAAGACATTTTCAAAGGAAAATCCATGCAAACTACCGTATATTCTGGCATATAAGACTACTTTTTAACCCAAGTCAGTGGTCATCTTATACGCAGAAGTCGTCTTATATGCGGGAGTAGTCTTACACATGGGAGTCATCTTATACACTGGAGTAGCCTTATGCATGGGAGTCGTCTTATATGCGGGAGTAGTCTTATACGCCGTGAGTCGTCTTATAGAGCGGGTGCTGAAACTTCCAATCCGGATTGGAGAATCTGTGGTTGCTGCATATTGTGGGTGGAGCTCAAAAATGGCAGTGGCTGCATCTCTGTTGTATGCAGCGACTGTATGATAGCATTAAGGGCGACGCTGTACAAGTATGGTAGAAGAAAATCCATTAATCAGGATTCGTGGACTTAATGCGGTCCCGATGGTGAGGTGAAGGGGCGCCTCACCGGGAAGGTGTAAGTGAAGGGCGGAGCAAGTTGCAGGCGTTCGGGGTGCCCGGGGTATGGAAAAAAGAGAGAGAGAGTGGCTCTGGGCCCAAAAAAACACAACTCTTTTATGTGTCTGGCCCGCCCTTGTATCCTATTACTGTACCTCCTCCTCTGCCTCTCAGATCTCGCTCCTGAAGACTGCAGTGAAGCGGTGCAGGTGCGCATGTGTGAGATCTGAGAGGCAGAGAAGGAAGTACAGTAACAGGAAAATTACCATATTGAAATCAAATCTGATGCTTTAAAAAAAAATATTTGGTGTGTGTTGGAAGAGGGGTAGTCTTATATGGCGAGTATATCCCAAACTCTATATTTCAACTGGAAAAGTTAGGGGTTGTCTTATACACACTTATATGTCGGAATATACAGGTATTCCTAACTAGAACTGCTTCCACCTAGATCAGGGATCCTCAAACCTTTTAAACAGAGGGCCAGGTCACAGTCCCTCAAACTGTTGGAGGGCCAGATTATAATTTGAAAAAAAATGAATGAATTCCTATGCACACTGCACGTATCTTATTTGTAGCGCAAAACACACTTTAAAACAATTCAATAATTAAAATGAAGAACAAATTTAACAAATATAAACTTATTAGTATTTCAGTGGGAAGTGTGGGCTTGGCTGATGAGATAGGATTGTTGTTGTTGTTGTGTGTTTTCAAGTCATTTCAGACTTAGGTTGACCCTGAGCGAGGGCTGGGTAAATGACCTCGGAGGGCCATACCCGGCCCCCGGGCCATAGTTTGAGGACCCCTGATCTAGATAACAGCAATAGTGCCATCAGCTACTTCTCCCCCCTCCCATATCATATGCCAAAAAATAAAATAAAATCTCAATGTATCTTTTTTTTAAGGAAATTCCTTACAAGGCAAGAAATATATCTCCATGATCAAGAGAGTTTCAGAGTATGTCCAAATACATCCTGATATCACATAAATTAAAAAAATACGTAAGAATGGGAGGAGGCAACAAAGTACTCTCTTACTACTAGAGCTTTCTGGCTGTTTTATATACACAGGCATGGTCAACTGCAAAAACCCAATTTGCATAAATTGAAAGATGTCCAAAATCATAATCATAATCAAATGTTTCATTAACATTATGCCAACATATTTAATTTTTCCAGGAATCACTTTTTTCTATTTTGTAGCATTGCAGCTTGTCCACGTAGTATCATATATTTCTTTTTTTATCATTTCCTTCTTCTTTTTCCTCCTTTTTCTCCCTTCCCTTTCTTTTCTTGACAACCATACATAATCCCTTTTCTAAACATCAACATAGTGTTCACATCTCAGGAGTACATATAAGTATTTTCTGATGTAATTTTTATTGTCTGCATTCTGTATTTTATTGTGCTATATTGTATTTTTGGGCTTGACCTCATGTTAGCCGCCTCGAGTCCCCTTTGGGGAGATGTTGGCGAGGTATAAATAAAGTTATTATTATTATTATTATTATTATTATTATTATTATTTAATTGATTGGGTCCACTTCAGTCATGACTAACAGTAAAATTTAGGTTGCAGCTTCCTGAAAACATAAGATTTGGTTCTGATTAGAAAACTGGAAAAGGCTCAAAGAGAGGACACAGAACAAAATCCACATAACGTGTCTCTCCTTACCGTGGTGTGGCTGACATTTCCATCCTGACCAAAGTGACGTTCCACGTAATGTGAAGAGAGCAGGTGGCTGAGAAGAAAAGAGGAAAGAAACATGAAGACACCACTGACAGATGAAACTATTCTCTATTCCCACCTTCCAATTTCCGCTCCCTTCTTAAGATACAGCGGCACAAAGAATGCAGTCTGACACCACTTGGGTCACCTTGGCTGAATGCTGTGGAATCCTGAGAGTTGTAGTTTTATGTAGTCTTCTCTGACACATAGTGGTAGTGCCTCTCTACAACTCCCTTGATTTCACAGCACTGAGTCATGGCGGTCAAAATGTGGTCAAACTGCATTAATTCCACAGTGTAGATGCTCACAGAATCATATAGATTGTCGATGGCTTTCATGGCTGGAATCACTGGGTTGTTGTAAGTTGTTCCAGCTATATGGACATGTTCTAGAAGCATTCTCTCCTGATGATTTGCCTGCATCTACGGCAAGCATCCTCAGAGGTTTTAAAGTCTGTTGGAGCTAGGAAAATTGGGTTTATATATCCATGATATATAAACCCAGATATATAAACCCAATTTTCTTAGCTCCAACAAACCTCACAACCTTTGAGGATGCTTGCCATAGATGCAGGTGAAACGTCAGGAGAGAATGCTTCTAGAACATGGCCATATAGCCCAAAAAACCTACAACAACCCAATCATATAGATTGATATGATCAAGTCTTTAATGGGCAGTCAAACCATAGATGAGTTCAAGTTTGGGGGGGAAAGCAAGACATACATGAAGATAATAATAACAATCATCACAACCACTACTACCACAAATGCCAATGTCACTTCTCTTATAGCATTTCCCTATTACCATTTTGCCCCTCCACTTTTGCATAGAAAGCCGCTACGATTTAGTTCCTAGCTGACAATTGTGTTGAGTGCATGCACAAGTGCATGCACAAACGCACTGTGCATTGTTGGGTGAGTAAGTTTAAAGATGTTGAGGTGGGAACATCTGACTTGCATGACAAACAAATATTTGGACGTCCTGTGACAGCAACCATTGAGTTTCACAAGCAAAAGGTTGACAGATTGATTCAGGATAATTGTCGTATCACTCAGAGAGAAATTTCAAGCATAATCGGCATTTCACAAGAACATGTGGGTCACACATTATTGCTTTGCTTGGCTATTGGAAGATCTCTGTACAATGGGTTGCGGAAACAGAGTGTCGACTTCTTCTGTGACGGTTTCAGAAAACTTGTTCATCGTTGGCAGAAATGTATCCAACTGTCTGTTGATTATGTGGAAAAGTGAATAGTGGTAGTTAAAGAGCACATTCTAAGGATTATTTCTGCATTTGATTTGTTAAAATATTCCCATCTAACTACAAGTAACGAAGGTGGAGGCATAACTTTTCATTCAACCTTCGTACATTGAGATTAGGTGGACAGTAAGCATAGGCTGAATGTGCAAATCTGACTGCTGAGGCAAATCTCAGTGTGAATGGGAAATTTTGTTGCTCATTGGAAACACACATTCTGCTGAACACTGAGTTGACCCACAGCTACTGCGAATTGGAATTATCTCCTTGGCAAGCCGAGTTTGATTAAAAAAAACATTGTAGATGTGTGGGGACTGTTTGGGATGGACAGGTTGTGATGGAAAGGCACTCTACATATTTCTAATGCTATTATTATTAGACACATTGTATTGGTTTATTTAGTTTACCCCACTTTTCAATTGGCCACAGTAGTCCACGCTCTGGTTACATCCCGTATAGACTACTGCAACGCTCTCTACGTGGGACTGCCTTTGAAGACTGTTTGAAAGCTTCAATTGGTCCAACAGACAGCAGCCAGGTTGTTAACAAGAGCGGCACTCAGGGAGCAGATAACTCCTCTGTTGCGCCAGCTCCACTGGCTGCCAGTTTGCTACTGGGCACAATTCAAAGTGCTGGCTTTAGCCTTTAAAGTAGTTCTCAACCTGGGGTCCACAGATGTTTTTGGCCTTCAACTCCCAGAAATCCTATCACCTGCTAAATTGGCTGGGATTTCTGGGAATTGTAGGCCAAAAACATCTGGGGACCCCAGGTTGAGAACCAAACGGTTCTGGCCCAGTTTACCTGTCCGAATGAATCTCTTCCTATGAACCATCTAGGTGTTTAAGGTCGTCTGGAGAGGTTCTGCTCTTCTTCGCAGATCCAATTGGCGGAAACAAGAGACAGGGCCTTCTCAGTGGTGGCCCCTCAGCTATGGAATGCCCTCTCTAGGGACATTCGATCTGCCCCCTCCCTCCTGACATTTCGAAAGAGAGTGACTGTTTAATTGAGACTCATGGAACGACAAGACAATGCGATAGAAAATGATTTTAATGATGAGATACCGAGAACTGTATTTTATTATTTTAATTGTTTATTGTTTATTGATTTTATATGGTTTATACTATATGTAATTGTTTTTGGACTGTATTTTATCTTGTGGGGCATTGATTGCCAAATGTAAACCGCCTCGAGTCGCCTCCGGGCTGAGAGGGGCAGTATACAAGCATAGTAAAAAAAAAAAAAAAAAGTTCAAAGACACATATAGGAGCCAAAATACAGAGACAGACACAAGAGAATGCAACATGACTTGGTCCCTTGACTATTAGCACAATGTTTCCCCACTTAATTTGTAGTCCCAAGGCAAATCCCAACACTGAAATACGTTCAGAAGCTAAATTGTGTCTCAAATTAATTATTGGGTCATTTGGGCTCTCAGTCAAAGCAGGCACTGATGACAAGGGGTGAAACTCAATTACCTGACATGCTGGTGAATCACACAGTTTCTAGTTACAGTCCAAGAATGATCATCAGCCACCTCGTCTTACGGTAACCCAGTGCCTTGAGCTTAATTTACTTTCAGGATAGAGCCGGGAGGGCAGAAATGATTCCAGATGCCCCATTAAATATTCAAGGGCACTCACCTAATCACAGCTTTCAGAGTCTGCTGTATCACAGAGCATGGAAAGATTTTCTAAAAGCACCACCTCCCACAGACACCACTATTCACACATTGTTGGTAACTACTCGGGATGGGGGTTGGATGTGTTCACAATGCCACGCAGGTCACGGAATAGCAAATCAGTGCATTCACATGCCCAGGCATTCTCATACTACTGTCACAAAGCTGTTCACATATTTGCACATTATCCATCCATGCTCACAAAATAGGCAGAGATACTGAAATGGTGCCCCATGCTCTGGGAGCATGCCCTCAAGCACACAGGGTGCATCTATACTGTAGTATGAATGCGGTTTGGCACCACTTTAATTGTCATGTCTCAATACTATGGAACCACAGGAGCTGTAGTTTAAATTGCTGGTGTCTTACCGATCTACAAATCCCAGCATTGAAGCACAGTAGTTCTGGTTGCTATTTGCCACCGGGAAGTTGCAGCCAATAGTGAAAGGACCAAGGCAGTGACATTTCCAGCCCATCCCGTTTGGGTATCAGCCAGCACGTCAATGACTTAAATAAAAAAATAGTTTTCTAATATCCACCGAGACACTTGCTGGAACACCCCAGCAAGCGAGAGTCCAAAAATGGCAGGCTCAAACCTAGAACCTCAATCAATGGCTGATACCAAATGAGAGACTCCCCCCTGGGCACACGGAAGACTGGGCGACTTGGAAGGCGCTGAACAGACTGCGCTCTGGCACCACAAGATGCAGAGCCAATCTTAAGAAATGGGACTACAAAGTGGAATCCATGACATACGAGTGTGGAGAAGAGCAAACCACTGACTACCTGTTACAATGCAACCTGAGCCCTACTACATGCACAATGGAGGACCTCCTTGCGGCAACACCAGAGGCATTCCACGTGGCCAGATACTGGTCAAAGGACATTTAATCAACTACCAAGCTTGCAAATTTTGTGCTTTGCCTGTTTGTTTGTTTGCTTTGTTAAAAATTAATACAAATGTCTGGTTGCTCCTGACACAATAAATATAAATATAAATACCACAGTTGTCGAAGTGGTATCAAACTACATTAATTTTACAATGCAGATGTACTTAGTACTTAGACGATCCCTCGCTGTCCAAGTAGGATTGTCTTCCAAGAACGGTGTACTGGCGGTGGGTCCGTAGGTGACTGTGGAGCCCTATTCATGATCTGCATCTTCTCCCGCAGTGAGGGAATTGGTTTCCAGGTGGAAAGTGGTCCCAGTCGGGGGTTGGCTTGACGCACCTTCCTCTTGCCACATTTCTCTCTTTCACCTTCCATTCGTGCCTCTTCAAATTCTGCAGCACTGCTGGTCACAGCTGGCCTCCAGCTGGAGTGCTCAAGGGCCAGGGCTTCCCAGTTCTCAGTGTCTATACCAGAGTTTTTAAGGTTGGCTTTGAGCCCATCTTTAAATCTCTTTTCCTGTCCAACAACATTTTGTTTTCCATTTTTGAGTTCGGAGTAGAGCAACTGCTTTGGGAGACAGTGGTCGGGCATCCGGACAATGTGGCCGGTCCAGCAGAGTTGATGGTGGAGGACCATCATTTCAATGCTGGTGGTCTTTGCTTCTTCCAGCACGCTGACGTTTGTCTGCTTTTCAGAGCCAAAGCTGATGGAATTGTTCTAGGAGTTGCATGTGACATCTGTAGATAGTCCACGTTTCGCAGGCGTATAGCACTGTTGGGAGGACAATAGCTATATTAAAAAGCACCTTGGTATCTCTACAGATGTCCCGGTCCTCAAACACTGTGCTTCATTCAGAAAAATACTGCACTCGCAGAGCTCAGGCGGTGATGTATTTCAGCATCAATGTTGACTTTTGTGGAGAGGTGGCTGCCAAGGTAGCGGAAATGGTCAACATTTTCTAGATCAGTGGTTCTCAACCTGTGGATTCCCAGGTGTTTTGGCCTACAACTCCCAGAAATCCCAGCCAGTTTACTAGCTGTTAAGATTTCTGGGAGATGAAGGCAAAAACATCTGGGGACCCACAGGTTGAGAACTACTGTGTGTACTTACTAATCCTGTGGTCCTGTGTGTACTTACTAATCATCATTACTTATGATTGCCAGCAAATGTCCATAAATTTAGTTATGC